AAAGCCACTGCCTCGTCCTTGATCTCATCCCTCGGCACAATATCCACCAGAAAATCAAATATATCAGTGCGCGTGATTGCAGCCGCTATGTCGTTCTTCTGCAGCGTACGACGCTTGTTCTCCTCGGCATGGAGCCAGGATCTGATTGTCAGCTCGAGGATAAAGATCTCACACGCCTTCGCGAAGAGGATTGGAGCCTCGGCCGATATCATACGCACATCTTCATCAGCCTTCATTATCTTCTTAATGCGAGCCAAAGGCAGCTGGTGGTTCTTAAAATCGTTCACCTGCTCAATTTCCTGCCGTTGACAGTTCCAGAACATTTGGAGCTGCTGCTGTTGCTGGTGGAGGAGGTGGTGGTACTGTGGCTGAGATGGGTACGACACTGCCGTCGCCGGTTGTGTCACCGCCGTTTGCTGCGGATTGTTTTCCATTTTAACGATTGGGGAGGAGAAAAAATAGATTTTTTCAAAAGAAGAAAGTGTGAAATGAATATATAGATAATAATTATGCCAAGGCTTTTTTTTACAGTGCCGGTAGAATGTACTACTGAAGATGTAGACAGTACGATTTTCAGATCCATGAATGGTGTGGAAGTAGTTCTTAGAAAGTGGATAAGTAGAGCTGTAGAGGAATGTTACTGTGTGGCACTGATACAGGTATTTGTGGCGTGTATTCATTTTCCTTGGCCAATGATTACGACCACGTCCACTATTCTTTATTTTCATTGGTTGAACTGTAAATAATTACCAAGGGTAGACTTTTACAGAGGTTTAGCCCTTGTCTGTTACTGATTTTTTAATTTAAAAAATTAAATTTTTGACCGTTACTTAACATAATCAACCGTTTTTTCGACCGTTTCGCTTACAGGTGGAATCCACATTTTAAGTTAATGGTCAAAAAATTAATTTTCAAAATCAACATCAAACAAATTTTTTAAAAGTTGAAATTTAACAAATTAAATTGAGTACTTTATTTTCTTTATAAAAATTCGACTCGCGAATTTCCTTTAACAAAAGAAATAGCAGCTCACAAGGAATATTAAAATTTTAATATTTCGTTGAGTCTCTTTACATCTTTATTAAGAAATTACATTTTTATAAGAAACAATACAATTATCAGTTACTATTTTTTCTATATTAATTGGCTATTTATGTTTTTTAAAATTTATTAAAAGTTTAATTCTTTTACAAACCATTAAAACATTTACTATATAGATTTGTCTCAATCCGAAGTTCGTAAGTACATTAACGAAGTGAATTCATGCCATTAAATCACCAAATAAAATAGAGTATTAAACAATATATCTCAATTGTTTAAAATGATTATAGAACTTTTTTTGTCACGTGAAACACTGCATTCATTATGCTCATGCTTGGTGGAGATTATAGTAAAGTTGTTTTAGTAGATTTTAATAAAAATTAATGAAAGTCATACGAAATGTATTATTAAAATTAATTGTTAATTTTGACTTAATTTCAAATTTAAATTTTAACTTCCACCCAAACAAAAGCATATATAGATGTTGCGGGCCCCACACAAAATATAAAAATTCAAATTTGATGATTTGATGTGATGAATAACGATCATATTTTTCATTTTAATGAAAGAAGAATGAGAAACAAATAGGGGCATAATTTTATAAAAACAAACATTTTCAGCAAGTTACAAAGAATTGGTAAAATGTTTTTAATGTGATTTTAATAAAACAAGATAAAATACATGAGTTCAAATTTAGTTATCACTTGTTTATGAAAAATGTACATCTCATAATTATTGATCGAAATATGAATCTAATTAAGAGGGTATTTAGTGGGGATTAAAATTAGATTTTTGAATAAATTGTGATAGAAGTTTTTGAAATGTGTGGTTGAAAGTTGTGAAACCCATGAAATATGTGATTAATATTGATTATTTGACTTGACTTAAATTAAAATCAAATTTTAATTCAAACCAAACATGCTTTAACTCTTAAAGAGCATATAGTAAACAACGTTCAAACTAGTATAATCAGCTCTCTCTAACAACCTTAACTTTTAGATTACACGGTTAATTTGGTCAACTTACATATGGGAAGACCGAAGACACGAAAGCTGGAAGAGGGATGTATAGGGGCAAAATCATAATCTTATCAAACATATGGTTTAAAATTCTCTTTTAATAAAATAAGGGTCCAAAATATCAAAATCAAGAGTTTAGAGCAAAAACTGCAATTTATAATCAATTGAGGATATTTCCGTAATTTAAAATCTGGCATAAAGCCGCCCTTTCGTCCTTGAAACTCGACTGAACAGAAAATTGGATAGGTCACACTGACTAAAACCCTTTCCTCCGTGCTCAAATTCACTGAAATCAAAGGGTTTCTTCAGCTTCTTCATGTAAGATCAATTTTCTGTATCTATGTCTATGTATATCGTTTCAATTTCGCGTTTAACCATCTTTTTGTTAAATTTTTTGCGCACTTCTGGGTGTCGAAATTCGTAAGTTTGAATTTAAGAGCATTAAAGCTCTAAACGTTTTGCGTAGTTTATAAGAGACTTGTTTGGAATGAAGATGTAAAGGCTGTTAATTTATAAGCAAAAGAAAGGAAAAAATCAGGGTTTTAGATTGTGTTGGTAATAATTTTTTTTTTTTTTTTAAGTGAAATTCGTGGATTTTTCTTACTTTATTGTAGAATAGTGGAAGTTCTATGAATCATCATAACATGA